TCCCAAAAAGGAACAGACTCACAGTTGCAATTAGGTGTACCAGATCACGTCGGTCTCACCAATGAAGATGATACAGGTATTCAGTGTTTGACAACGCTTCTACACCTAATATATTTCGTTCCCACCCAGAGATTGTAGTAGCAGTTGAGCACGGCGGTACCACACGTGATCTGGTGCGGATGCCTGACCGAGCGCCTTCAGCTAGATGAGTCAACTAAAACATATGGTCAGCATCCAATGTTAAAACTTACAGGGCTATTTATTTTGGGGATTTATTTACCGCTACAACATCGACGTATACTCCATCTCCAATACATTCATAAAGTACCTTCGACAACTGATCGTAGTTCGGAAGCAGAAAATGACTAAGTGGTTCGGGCTATTTTGCTAGATTGTGGTGTTTGAATTAACTAATGATTCTTTTGTACTTGTTGAATGCTCGATTTCGAATCCTAAATACAATACATTCGTTTGTGCCTGTGTCTTCTTAATTCAATTGCGTTAATCCTGGAATTCCTAATTCATACGATAATTTGAATACTATATTGGCGTCGCGATGGAGCCTGCAATGGAAAAGTTAGATATTCATTCAACTTCAGAAGCTTTTGAAGATTACTTTGAAAGGTTCGAAATCTGGGCTATGACCAAGGAAGATGATGAGGATGTTAATATTGTGGCACACTTCCTCACATTCATTGGAAAAGAAGCATACAGCTTATTAAGAACTCTGGCTATGCCGGAAAAACCCATTTCGCTTTCTTATACAGCTCTCAAGGATCTACTGCTAGACTATGCTCAGTATACAAATTTCAAATGTCGTAAAGGAGGAAGATTTCGTAAAATGATTCATGAGGATATAAAAAAGTCCACTACATTACTACGTCATCTCAACCTAGTGCATACTCAAGGTTATGCAGACAATTCATTGAATTTGGATGCAGTTCACGAGGATGGGGACAAGTTTGGTCAGTGTTTGTCCTGTTGCAAGTTCCACTCTTCTAATTCATGTAAATTTCATAATTCTAAATGCTTCAAATGTCGTGATATTGGACAAGTTCAGTCAGTTTGTAATGCTAATGTTCATCTTACTGCAATTAATATTAAGTCTTGTAATTCTGATTCTACTGAGTCGAGTATTCATGATGATCATTTATCTTTATCAACGATTTCAAAAGACAGTGCAGAGTCATATGGCAGTTCAGAGTTAAATGAAATCCAGAATTCTTGTGAGACAACATTTCCTAATCAACCGATTTATCAGAATTCTCATGCTATTGTACCAAGTATGACTTTTCCTAATGATTCACATATTTCTAATGAAATTACTTGCAATTCTGAGGAAAATATGTTAAATGAACCTAATCATGATCGAAAACCTGATGTGGTTTGGATAGATGCTGATTTTTCTAACGATCCTACGCTCTGCAGTGACAGTCCTGATGAATTTCATGAGAATATTTCAGAAGAATCAAATCCTGATGTCATATCATATATTACCTATCCTCATAATGTATTTGATCTTCGTGAAAAACCTGCCCAATGCGAAGCACGAGTACTAAGTGACCTCGAGTTTTATTATATTTCGGATGATTTCATATCAACTGCTGTTTACTCTTATCACAAAAACAGTTCTAATGTTTACTCTAAACAATGTGAGATATATGTTTTAAATGAAGCCACATTATTCATAACTTGGGAGTATAAAGATCCAACATTATTTCGTGGGGGGGGATAGTGTTGAAAAATCTATGGTTCGAATTCTAGATATTAATGATTTCATTACAAAACCGACATGCTGGTTGTATACAATTCCAGGTGAGTCTGTTCCGATTTCGTTTGTTAATTCCAATACTAATGAGCACTTTCTAGATACTACAAAGTTTTTATCTTATACAATGTCGGACAGACTCAGGATGAACTTAACAAGAAGACGTACAACCGATTACAAACACTTATACTTCTATTTAAGCTGTGGCGGATGTGGTGTTTGAATTAACTAATGATTCTTTTGTACTTGTTGAATGCTCGATTTCGAATCCTAAATACAATACATTCGTTTGTGCCTGTGTCTTCTTAATTCAATTGCGTTAATCCTGGAATTCCTAATTCATACGATAATTCGAATACCATATAGATACAGACAACTTAGTTGTGCCGCGTGTAACGGCTGTGGTTCGCTGATAGATACTTAGGTGACGGTCGGGAATTACGTACAATGTAGAGGCATTCATTACTTGTCTTCTGGTCGAAATAGAGATTCAATACATCTCCAACAGTGACATACCAGTCTTTTTGAACCAAATGGACAATATCTAGACTTAACACTTATCAATGCTGATAAACTGTTTCGACCTGTCCTAGCGTCCCTTCAAATATATGTTCCAGAGACTATATATTGATATTGGTTGGATTACTGAATACGTGAATGCAATGAAAAGTGTTAAAAATATTCTCCGAAATTACAAAAAACACAGTTTATCTTAGATGACATTGTGGAGCTCACAGGTATTTGCATTTTGACAACGCCATTAACCATAACAACTCCACAGTTGCTAACTGTACCGTCGCTTACCCTTTTGTCTCACTGTACGCAAACAACACGTCGGGATGACATATCATAAATCTCCAACCTACACGTACCTCCCAATTTCATAGATCGCGCTCTAACTGATATATCAGTCAACTTAACATATAAGACTGTATAATCATCCTTAAGGACTTCCAGAACCAACCTATCTAGTTTTGCCACTCTTCCTCACTTCGAATGGGAAATGGCCTCGATCTCAGTTATGGGACTTGTGCCAATTTCCCATCCACACTGCTTGAAGATTATGGATAGCTGGCACCCGGTTAAACTGTTACTAAGTGTTCTGCTAACCGACCTAACCTCCTGGAATGAGGGAACTATGGTTCCGAAATAGTCTAGCTCGTAGCTGAATTCCACTAAACGTATTCTCGACTATTTGGAACAGTAATTTAGTGTGACGTATTACCATTACCCTTTCGCCTATGTGACTTTCGTTCCCCACCACTACTGGGTATCGTTGCTTAAAATATTTGTCAGTCTGCATTCAAACTGTCTCTCATCCTCGTGTTTCGGTGCCGGTTAGTATGAGATTTCGAGAATCTGTCAATTTATTTGAAACCCCGAACTCCATTGATCTTTCCTAAGCTTCTAGTTTGAGTCACAAGTAGATAACAATGCTGTTGTTACAACTGTTTGGATATTACATCAAGCCTCTCAGAATAAACTTAACCCACACGGTCGACTAAGTGCTTAGTTTATTGTTCGTAAACTGTACTTCTGACCATTTTTTCAGAATTAGTTTTAAAGGGTCTTCCTTCTGTGACTTTTATGGGCCCGGCAAGTCACAGACAAACGCGTGTTTACACTTCAGGATGGAGTGTGAAAACATGTGCGTTGGAGAAGCAGTAGTCGTGAATCGAGTCTTAAAGACGAGGTCTGTGTTGAGTCGATGTTGGGGGTCATCGGAAATTATCCTTCCTTATGATTACAATTTTCATTTTCTAGAACTGAGTGGTCCTTTGTGTATGGTTATTCAACCACAACATAGAACCTATACGCATGCACATCAGTCCAGGTTCCGATACCCGATTAGCACAGAGAAGTGAAGTCAGACCAAATCTCAGAATAATAGAGGTGGTAACAATATCAGTGGTAATAGGAATTCACGAAACGGAAACATAAATTAATGAAATGAAAGCAAAGAGTTATGAGGAAGTTAAAAGCTCAGGATTTGGGAAAGACGAAGAATGGATGCACCTGAGCCATTGCAAACGATTTCGAGCCATATCATTCAAGGTCTCTAACTACTGGTTACGACAATCACGTGAACCCCAACCAGGTAGTCTGTACCTATTAACGTAGTTCAATCCAGTTGTCAGTGACTTCACGGACTGATGAAATGTTTTGACTTGACCGCCCCTAGCCTTCTTGCAGGCAACCTTGCACCAGAGAACTTCGCCCGTCGAGATAGGCGGTGGCTAGGTATACGTAACACATATCCGAACCACATAAATTGATAAAAATCGACTACTTCGTCGATCGATCTACCGCACTTATCTAGTACTCTTTCTAACCGAGCCGCCTCGCAGCTAAGTGAAGCGGCAGATGCTTTCAACTACACTTCCTATCATTGGTTTAGGCGATGACGCGAGCCAATCCTGAAGTAACATTCCAGATTTGTAGAGAGTATTGTATCCGATAGTTGGAACACATAGTCACTTCTGTCCATTTCTTGGGCCTTCACTGATGAACTCGCCCAATAGTCGCTCAACTCGGTTTTCGTTTTCTACTTGGACGTGAAAACCCTATTCAGTGAAACTATAATTGGTGAACGACACTAAAGTCACATTGAGGACGTTCACTTATTTAATAGGGCTGAGTGGGGGTTATAGACTAGTGTGGGGAATTAAGATTATGATTGACAGTTGATGGTGAGGGTTAAGAACTAGACTTAGGGTTTTCATCCAGAACTGACATCAGCTTAAATGCCAAAACGCTTTCGAGCTAAATGGATTTCGCGCTGAAATCCAAGACCTGTTATTCTAAATCTCACTTGTCCGTCCATAAATTATAGTCTTGCCATCCATTCTATGATTGATCTGTCAGAGAGCTTAGCTTTTTGAAGCTTATTGGACCTTCTATAAAACTCGCTTTTTTTCAACATCGGATGGTCAGTGCTAGCATAAACCGAATGGATGTATAAACTTATCTATTATTAAACTGTCGGGTAAAATATTTTTGTAGTATGATATTTAAGGTATTTACGATATGTTAGCATACTTTAAACGTTATACTTCTTGTATGTACATAATTGAAATATATGGTTTCTTACACGTTTGTGTGTTAAGTTTTGATTGTCCATTTTTGCTTTTCACAAAGCGTTTTGCTACACCTCTAAAGGCCTATGAAGTTTATAACGGCTTTCACTATACAGATAATAAAGTGCAGGTTTAGTTTTAGTCACTTGACCATCGGAAGGCTTTTTGCTGTCCTAACTAGTAAGAAAATCGTGTTTCATCTGTCAAGTTTTGTACGTCTGATCCCATAATATCTACATTTTATGCTTTGCTTTCTTTTTTTTCTAAATAGGCATCAGAGAGTGCCTATACGAGTGAGTATTTCTGCCAAGCACTACGCATGTCTGAAAGCACTGAAGAGATAGACGTTGTCATTCGTCAGCTAAATAGTTTCATGGATAAACTTCGGGGTCACGACACTGGTGGTGATGATGGTAAACAGATTTATTTTTGGTTTCTCTACATATTTGTTTTACGTTGTCTAGTTTTTGAATAAATAAAGTACATCTATCAATGCTTAGAAGCAAGAAAAATTGGTTCAGCGATTGTACATCTTCAAAAATGGATTTGCTAAAAAGAGAACTTTCCGTTGAACCAACCTTTCTTGTTTTTAAATGAATACACTACAGTTTTGGTAAATTACTGAAAACATACTCTACGCAAGTTAAATGATTATATTGTCCAATACGGAAGATGGAAGAGATTTACAATTGAGAAATAAACGTATGAAAATAGTTTATTTAAGGTTAAAACGAAAATTTTTAAATTCCATTTGGGGTGAACTATCTTACTATTTGTGATAGAATGTAATTAAAAACTACACTAGGGACCTTCTATAAAACTCGCTTTTTTCAACATCGGAGCTGTGGTCAGTGAAAGCTTAAATAGCCAATCAGTCTTCTAGACTGAGTGGACTGTGATTCCTAATTATGTAGCTTCTTGTTCACTTATATTTATTAGTCGAAAACCGGTAGCAACTCTGTTTTAAGCATTTAAAACAACTTATAAAAGTTACAAAATAAAATGTCCTTTATCAACATGACACAGATATAAACATAAAATATTAGCTATTGAAGGAAGAAAGACAATACTTAACAGATGTAACTGTAAGCTTTCGGATAACCGGATTTCATTATGCCTTCGAATAAAACAGGAACGGAAATGGGAGCAGAATAAATACGGATTTCATTTCGTCGATTTCACATTTTAAAGGATTGCAAAGTATCATTATACTAAAATATTGAAAAGAAAATAGCATATATCACGCTTGTGAATATTACAAATATTGTGGTACAATTAACCATAGTTAGCACCACATTAATTACATGTAGTTCCCATATAACTTGTGGTTTACTTACTAATGCCGGGAAAATAGCTATGCATGAACCATTTAAATTTTATCTTCCGGTAAACATAATCTACAGTTTACATCCAATAAAAGACATTTCAATTTATTCGCGAAATCGTCACAATATTTGTTGAATTGCATTATATCACGAGGGTGTTTCGTCCAAAATTTGTGGAAAGAATAAAATGTATAGCCTGTTTCAAAAACGATAGGAAAAAGAATGTATGTTTAGTAGAATGAGCTGGTTTGTAATTAAAAATGAAAGGATTCTACTTCTTACAATTTTCATGGATTTAGCACAATAATCAGGGTGTCAGAGTGACCAATAAAAGCACTATATACCTATCACTTACAGCAAGAAGTATTTTAAATAAAAACAAATCAGTTGATGAATAGGTCAATTGTAGAAAAATGTACGAAACTACTTATCCAAATCATAGGATTAATCTATAAAGTCACTTTGTTAGTTTAAACCGTCAAAACTTATCATAGACGGATCATATAAAACGAAATTCTTGTTGTCATAATCAAATGATTCTGTTACCACTATACAATACAATGATGTGATAAGTTGAATACCTTTATGTCATCAGATTTGTTGTGAAACATTTTCACCTTTTAAATTTTAACAAATAGTGGATGAAAATAGCTACTCGAACAAACAACAATCAAGCTTTATGGTACATAAGGAATCTATCAACACACACAAGCGTTGTGCAATGTTGTCTTACAGTATAAAAAAAACATTGTGACAATGAGAGATACACCTCATTTTCGAACAAAAACTTGGTTTGAACATATATATATATATATGCCAAATCATTTCTAATTACTTAACATTAAGAGTGAGCTCAAACGGGTCGATGTAAAACTTTTGAAAGGAAAACTAATGAAATGAGGTAGCTTTAATGAGCTAAAGAAAGTTGCTTGATATTTTGGTAGTTTTTCATTTCTATCAATTGAAGATTTTACTTCGGCTTTTTTTGTGAAAGCAGAAACTTTTAACACTAACTGTCAATCCATTCTTAGTAAAACTATTAATGGTGAACAAAAATAATTTCAAAACGATATGTTTAGACAACTATAACTTATTGAGAGCTTTTCTTTTTTTACCAATTAAGCTAAGTGATCACCGAGTACTTTATTCCAAAACAAGGATAATTAAACTTTACACAGTACGAACTGTAAACAATAGGACGTTAAATCGATTATTCGTGTTATTTCGTAGCCAAATACATTAAATATTTTCTTCATAATATTATTGTGAAGAAATTGTAGAATTTATACACAGATGAAATTATGCATGCTTTAGGTCAAAAAGCCTTATGGATACTCTTTTATAATACTTGATTACATTGTTATGCCTTTTCATAGGGATATCTATTTATTAGCAATATATAGCCACATTGGTGAAAACTACGATCTCATGAGAATGGGGATTTTGAGGTTCTTACTAGTAATATAAAGCTAAAATTATCAACAATATACACTTCTTACACGAAGTATCATATGTTGTTTAGAGGATAATCGATGAATATTGAGCATATAAGACAAAATTGCATAGTGTAATGCTTTTGTAACAATGAAAAATAAAGCATGTGGATAGAATGACTTCAAACCCCTAATTCGACTGCTGCAATATTCCCTAGACATACAAATCTTATTCAACTTAAGTAATTAATAATTCCAGATTTTCCAACGATGATTTTAGGAACCTAATCTATTAGTCTATCAAACCTCATTTTAAACAGACTGACTAGCATTACCATTTTCATATCGGCTAACCAATGTAAGAAGATTTGGTGTTATCAGTCAGTCAGTCAGTCAGTAACAACGTAGAACTTCGTACGTACGTACATCAGTTCGAGTTGCCACACCACATTAGCACAGAGATGCACTTGTCGATTCAAATCCCGTAGTGGTAGAGGTAATAAGAGTATAAGCAGTAATCGGGAAGATTAGGGTTTGGAGATGTTATTTAAAGAGTATAATCCAGTGAAAGAAATTTGGAAAGAGGAAAAAAAGGGACATGAAGAATTCAGAAGATTAGAATTTGGGAGAACACAGAGAGTGGATGCACCTGCGCCATTGCAAACGATTTTGAGCCATGTCATTCAGGGTCTCTAACCATCGGTTGCTGTCATCTCGCGGTCCCCAACCAGGTAGTCTACACCTACCAACATGACTCAGTTCACTTGTCAGTGACTTCATGGACTTGTGCCATGTTTTGGTTTGGCCGCCCCTAGCTTTCTTCCAACCTACTCCTATACCACTGAACATAGCACGTCGAGGCAGTCGGTCGTTGGGCATACGTAACACGTGTCCCAGCCATCTCAACTGATGAAGTTTCACTACGTCATCAATTGATTTGCCATCCTTACCTAGTACCCGTTTCCTAACAACTGTGTTACTTACTCGATGGTCCCATGATATATGAGCAATGTTTCGAAGACACCTATGATCAAATACTAGTAACCTACGGATATCCTCTACTCTTACCGGCCATGTTTCACTGCCATAAAGTAGGACGGAACGAACTGCTGCGCAGTAAACACGTCCTTTGGTTGATAGACGGATATCTCGCCTACGCCATAAATGACGCAAGTTGGCAAAAGCTAGTCGAGCCTTCTGTATCCGTGCTGAGATTTCGTCACACACTAAACCACAAGGGCTGATGAGACTTCCAAGATAAGTGAAGCGGTCGACACACTCAACTACTTCACTCCCTATCACTAGTTCGGGTGTCGATGTAACCCAATCCTGAAGCAACATTTTGCATTTCGAGGGAGAGAATCGCATCCCGAACATGCTTGCATTGTTGCTTAGAGTGGCCAGAAGACTCTGCATTTTGTCAGTGTCTTCACCAAATAAAACGATGTCATCAGCATATTCTAAGTCAACAAGTGAACCTCCTGGTAGAAGTTCAACCCCTGTAAATTTAGATGAGGAGAGTGTTATCTCTAAAAGTACGTCGACCACAAAGTTGAACAAGAATGGGGAGAGTGGACAGCCCTGACGAACACCACTTGAGGTGATCAATTCTGATGACAGTTCGCCATAAGCTCTCACTCGACCAGTTGTGTTCGAGTAGAGAGCCTTTATAAGGTTAATGTACTTCTTTGGTACTCCTTTCAGTGACAAACACTGCCATAGAACCTCACGATCAATCGAGTCGAATGCCGCCTTAAGGTCGAGAAATACTACCATTGTGGGGCGTCTGAATGTGTGTCTGTGTTCTAGAACCTGACGTAGTGTGAATATCTGATCTATACAACCACGTCCAGGTCGAAAACCAGCCTGGTTTTCTCTAGTCTGCTCTTCACGAGCTTTAGTTAGGCGTCGAAGTATTATTGAAGCTAATATTTTAGACACTATATTAGTCAAACTGATTCCTCTGTGATTGTCACAAGAGGACTTTTGTCCTTTCTTAAAAACTGGCACAATCAGTGATTGAGACCAGTCAGATGGGATTACGTCCAGTTCCCAAATTCTACCTAAGACCTCAGTTAATCTCATTGCTAATACTGGACCACCATCCTTAAAAATCTCAGGAGTAAACCTGTCAGGGCCTGCTGCTCTCCCTCGTTTCAGATTTCCTATGGCTTTTTCAACTTCGTAAAGGGACGGAGGACCTACATTAACTTGCCATTCAGGTTGACTGGAGATCGTGGGAAACCGAAGTGTGGCTGAAGGCCAGTTGAACTGATCCCTAAAGTGTTCTGCCCATCGATCCAATCTCCTGGATTGAGAATGAATAATATGTCCATCTTTCTCTGAGATTGTTTCGCTAACGGTCGGGTTCCTAATTCCGGTTTCCTTAACGAGTCTGAACAATTGTCTGCTATTACCTATTGCCGCTGCCTTTTCCATCTCTCTTGCTTTCGCTACCCACCACTGTTCGCGATCATTGCGTAGACTTCTTGTCAGCTTGCGCTTAAGCTGACTCCGCTCTTCATTATGTTCAGAGCCAGGTGGAATGTGTTTCCGAGCATCTATCAGTGAGATAGATGCTGCTGAGATCCAGTGTTGCTCCCTAACCTTCTGGTTTACCTTACTAGCAGATATCACTGCTGTTTCCACAGCTTTTCGGATATCATTCCATGCTGCATCGGGGTGGGCATCACATACATGGCTGCCTAACTGTTTTCCTAGTTGTTCCTGAAATATACTCTTAGCTTGACTATCATTAAGTAGGGCCCTAAGAGGTTTCCTTGCAGGATCTTTCCTACGTCCAGTAAGACGCAAGCAAATACGCGCTCGCACTAGAGCATGATCTGAATCTAGGCATGTGCTCCAGAATGAGCGACAGTCTTCTATCGAGCCCCTCCATCGGTGGCTGATAGCGATGTGATCCAGTTGGGTCCAACGTTGGGACGAATTAGGGGGTCGCCATGTTAAAAGATGTTTTTCCTTATGCTTAAAGTTAGTATTTGCAAGGAACAGGCGGTTATCTGAGCATAGCTGCAACAGACGGTCGCCATTATCTGTTCTTTGAGCCACGACACCATAAGATCCACCTAGGTGTCTTTCCTTATCACTTAGTTTGCCTACTTGAGCATTAAAGTCACCGGCCACTATTACTACATCCGAGCGCCTAGCTTTTCGGAGAAGGTCCGAAAGCTTTCTGTAAAACTCATCTTTTACATCATCTGAGCTGCAGTCAGTGGGAGAATAGGCAGAGACGACGAAGAGGCAACGACGAGTGTCCCTATCTTTCCGGATTCTTACTGTTCCGTTCAGTCGGACAGCGCACAAACGACTGTCTATTGGGATCCACTCTAAGAGAGCTAGTTCTGCCCTAGGACTCAATGCTATACCTACGCCGGCGAGGCCACGGGAAGCAGAATCAGGGCTTCCAGATACACGAAGCGTAAATCGAGTCGGTTCTTTATTTTGGCATGGTGAGGTCAAATGAATGACGCTACTTGGATCCTGTATGCGCGTTTCGGAGACGCAGCACACATCGATGGCGCGAGATTCTAAAGTTTTAGCTAAGGAAGCCTGCTGTCCTATTTGGCAAAGTGTTCGTACGTTAAAAGCTCCTACGTGTAGTTTAGAGCGTGGTTTCAGGAGACCAGGAATGGCGTTCCACGTACTCGAATCGTTTGCCCTAGCGGTGCGAGGTGATAAAAAGACGTGAGGAGGGTTAGTCGGGAGGATAAGAGAAGTATTAGGAGGTGTAGGAAGGATTTGAATGTGACCACCTTGGTCTCTTGTGCTGTTACGGGTATGAGGGCTGATGTCACTTCCCGGCTGCCCACACCGTGGAAGGGTATTTCTTGAGGAACCTGAAAAGGAAATTGGATTAGTGTTGGTCTTGACGACCTGGGAGCGTGACCGCAGAGCCCAAGGGACAACTGCTTGAGGCCGGTCGCGCACGGCCTTTTTGTGGAAGGTTTTTGACGTGTTAGCTCCGTTCTTCAAGGGGCCTTACCGCCGGAGACGGAAATCCGTGAGGTAAGGTGAGGTGTGCATTTTTAGGGTCGACCTTTTCTAACCCCACCCCTCCTTGTGGGAAGGCAGCATCGCTGTCATGCTGGTTGTCCGAGGGAAACACCTTACTGCTGTCACACCTCTCTACAGTCAGCAGTACGACTTCGCCCTCAGACCTTGAGTTGCTGCTTTTAGTCTTACCGTTCGCCAATCGACCTGCCTGGCATGGTAGAACCTGCAGGAACATATGTTCCAGCCAATATAGCTCGGTTGGGTCATCACGATAGGCAAGCCCGATCACCGCGTCAAGGTAGCAGCTTCGATCGGGTATTTGGTGTTATGTGCAGTGTTGTGCTCTTTAAAATTAGCCTTTAAATGATTACTAAAGAGAGGAGTATTGTCGCTTAGCTTTGTGAAGTATTCATTTTCCTTATCTGCTTTGACTCCGTATAAAATACCTTGGTATCCCGTTAACTAAGACTATACGTTGCAGCATGAGTTTTGAAACTATCACATAGATCGAATATAATTGCTGAATGTATATGTTACTATAAAATCTGCTTGAAGTACGAAAAAGATTTGCCACCACACCTAATTAAATGTAGTCTTAATAAATTCGGAATTATGAGTAGCATGTGCCAGACTTACTAATTCGCTAATGTAATTAAGTAGCAAATGAGTGATCAATAGTTAACTAACAACCAGATGTCCTAAAACAAATAAAGCTTTTAAGTTCAAGATGCCAGTAACTGCTCCTTAATGGTATTTCATGAGTCCCCAGACATTTTCCATAAACATATAAGCGTAATAATCGAACTTGGAAACGTAGATTTTCTGGGTGGGTGCTAGCCGTGGGACAATGAGTTATTGTACAAACGTAGTTTATGAACTCAACTGATAGCTAATACATAAACGGTCTTGGACTTATTTCAATAACCAAGAGTCGAACGACAAACTAATAATATCAGCTTTTGAAAAGTGAAGTTAATGTACGCAACTCTGCGAATCTATAAGTGATTACTAAGTCACAAAAAAGGGAAGAACTTAGGTAAATAAAGGTTTTTGCTCAGAATTTCTCAGTGGCAACCGGTCTGAAAACTGCCAAAATTACGTTTACTAATATATTGTCAGATATCTAACGCTTTCATTGAGAAAATAAATTTAAAAAACCACATCAGGTTTTATTCAGTCGACTAAAAGTAAACTAAAAATGAACGGCATCGAAAGTGTAAATAATATATATATATATATATATATATATATATATATATATTCCACTCCACGAGGGGTAACAGGCGTAAGTTTTAGAGTGGAACCCTATATGTCAGAATACATTATTTTTAACATGTACCAAAGACCCAAGCCCCACTTGTGCTATTTTGTTTTGAGTGGTAAAGTTATATCACTACTCCGAAAAATTTCAAACTAACACCGAGTAAATAAACACGTACTTCATTATTAGGTTGCAGTACTTTATGATACATTAAGTACATGGTTGCCTTTGTACTTAGATATTTTAGGAGTGACTACCATTCTTCGAATAACCAAATTGAGGATGTTAGACGACTCTCTGTGTTCGATCATCGCTGTCTCCGAAGGATTGCTGACATTCAGTGGCAACACCATGTCAGTAATGCAGAGGTTCGGCATCGTGTGTTCGGGCACAGAGATGATAATGCAATCGATGTCACCATCTTGAAACACCGACTTCGGTGGCTTGGACATGTTCTATGAATGTCGTCCCAGAGAAATACACGTCGTGTATTGTTTGCCAACTCTGGGACTGGTTGGAAAAGGCGGAGAGGTGGTCAGTGCATGACACGGTGCAGTGGTATGAAAGAAAGCTGCAAAGGGCTGGTTTCTGTTGGTCCTTCACGACTCTCTGGTTGGTGTCCTAGAGATGGTGCAACACAGTGGCTAGAGACGTTATCAGATATGGCTCAGGATAGAAGCCAGTGGCGATCCTGCTATAACCTTCTTTTGCTTTCTTCTTAGAAAATGGTTGTTTCTTCCTTAACTGAAAGAATTCTTCTGATTGTACTTTTCCGTTTCCCCCATTATTACTATTATTATTATCACACTACCTTACGCTAATCTGTTCGTTAATGTCCTTTTTTTCACGCTCCTAAACTTTTTTCTCTTCGAATTCTCATTGTGTTGTGTGGCGCATATGTATTTGGTGCCCTCTTGCTTGTACCAATATCTATGTGTTCAAATAAATATGCAAATAAATGTAGGGAAATTACGAAAACTAAAATGGTAGCACTTACAGTAAAACTCGTTGAAGTCTTGGATGCTGGCTGATGAAGACATATTATAGAATTGATATTTTAGATAACCCTTCAGCATTAAGTTGTACGACAACTTCGTCAAGTGGATACCAGTTACAGCAAATGGATACCTGATTGGTTGGAAAGGAGTTAGTGTAATCAAATAACTTCTTAGAATTTACCATTTGTTAGGATGATGTGATGCCGATAACATACTTCGCGCTAATTTTGTGTGTGATTCTGCGAAGTACCTATATAGGTATAAATTCAAAAGAAAGTACTATACAAAGGAAAGTACAGCACAATTAATAGTAAGGATTTAGGTAGTGTTATTACACTGATTTAAGCTCTATGGTATGTGTTTTTACTTGAAAAATGAAACAGTAATAACAAAAGAAGCCAATGATGTAGCAAGTTTCCTAGGATATATATTCATGATGAGGAATATAACTGGACTGAACAAGAACATAACACAATGCCTTCTAACCATACTATAGGTCCTAAATGGTATATGGAAATAAATCTGGAAAAGATTCTATCAACCATATCTCCAATATTTATTAGAGCACGTAAACATTGGTGCAAGAAGGCACCAAATATGTATGCGCCACACAAATCATTTGATTTGTGTGAGGGCTAGGGTACTGCTCGAACTCCCAGACCGAAGCAGTTGGTTCTCTTGGAGAACCACTCCCCGAGCCTTTTAACTAGAGGTCTAATCCACAAGGCCCGTGGTAGTCGGTGACCAACAATAGGTGTATACGCTTTTGTTCCCTCAGGATTCGGGAGTCCATATGCACTACTAGTTTGGAATTAGGGTTTTCCAACTCCCCTAGATGGATCTCTAATATCCACCAACCTGCTTAAAGCGCCGGACACTCCCTTTTCGTTCTCTCAATTTTATAAACAACACCTCCGCTTCGAGGAGGCAGTGAGTAGGACTTCCCTGGCAGTGGTATGTTTAATTCGTCCACAGTAAATTTGCCTTACACCGACAATAGGGTGATTCACTTTATACAAATTGTGGGGTCTGACAGTTGGAAATGGTGCTCGGCTTTAGAAAAATATGGCTATACTTTCAACTTTTGTCAATATTACATTTCTGACAAAAATGTACCTCAAAACATTCTGAATAACTGCAATAATTGGACTCGAAATCAATCAAGCATACAGTAAGGGTTATTATAGTATTTAGAATCTAGATCAATAATAAGCAATGAGAGGCATTATTACGGTAGTACTTCAAAAAACGTTTGAAGGATGCCAAAACGCGATGTAATGAAACAAACTATAAACTACGATCTTGCGCTGCTGAGTTTCATACTAGGACGAAACGGCTGTCCAGTGCTCTCAGGTTTCTAGTGGTGGTCTCACATTATTCAGTCCTTATTTCAATCAAAAATCAACAACCTCCACAACTCTAAACTGATATAAATTATGAATTTTGGCCAGTTTACAGGCTGGTTAAGAGTGCTACCACAACAGTGTCCTTTCAAATGAAAATTAAACATGAGAAGAAAACAGTTGTTACAAGGACTACACTTCAATGAAATATACTCACGAATAAAAACTGGTGTATTTGGTTGAAACGAATGGGGAGTCAGCAAGTTTATGACATGAGTTCACAAATTACAAGTTTTAAAGTGGATGTAAGAAAGATCACACAAAGTTTTAATTCACTCACATAATACCACCGTAATATAACACTATGAACTTCAACCGGCGTTCGAAAAATAACCATTTTACCATACCCGATTCAGTTTTAACAATTGTTTACTTTTTTCATTTCAAGCCTTGTAGTAAGGGTTTAAAAAACAAAATCACTACGTGCAGAAACGGCAGAAAAAAACTTATTCACCCCATAGATGGAGATAGCGAATGCTAGTCTTACTATGTTAGTTAAAAGAGTTCTAACCCTAATGAAAAAGTGGGTGACCATAAAGATTTAGTCTATTATTATCAGCGTTGAACCTGCCATACACTTGAACGTGACCTTGTGATTCTGGATACTTATGACTAACTTGTCGAATTTAATGTGGACTACATAAGTGTAGATTTTACATAAAAATAAGGGATTAGTAATGCTGAATGATAAGACTGAAAATCGTCATAGGTTGATCGCTTCCACATATTCAGTTTCACATGAGCAAATCAGTTACTTTGCACGAAGAACCTTTAAACGTCATTAAGATGAGTTTTGACAAAATATAATCACTACATTTATGACTAGTTTTGACCAACTAAGTACGACTTACACAAGATTTTCAAGAGACAGTATACCCATTCCGCGGAAATCCGTCTCGGGGTTCTCCGTCTGAAATCCAAGAAGAGTCCACTTCTCTCCATTATGGGATGACAATTCGTTTTGAGAATCAAGACAAATCCATAACTAAAAAACTTCAAGTCACTTGTGAGAAAAACTACCCTTGAAAGTAATTCGGAGTGATAGTGATCATCTGAATTAAACGCAGTACACTTCAAGGCATCCAATGTACTTATCAGTTCCCGATAAGAGTTGATTTGACTGATGCAGTACAAATAATCGGTAGGAAAACTGGCATAAGTTTGTGTATATGATAATACTTTGGTTGATCTTTTAGATCGATACGCTTAGCACTAATGACAAACTGCACATGTGACTTAGCATCTGTACATTTTCCCAAAAGCAATCCATTTTGAATAGATTTGTTTTTTGAATTTCTCAGCGAGTTTTCTTTTATATACAATCAACACAACACTCAAACTAAACCAACCTATTCTGACAGTTCTGGGCGCTCCTTTCGGACAATCAGCAATTATGCGACTTAGTTCACATTTCCCTGTTACTAATCGAGAAATATACTTTATCATAGGACGGAAAATTGAATATATCACCTGAAACAAGTAGACAAGTATGTAGACTAAAAATTTCATTTGCAGGAGTAGTGTGATGGTGATAACCGGTTCAGTATGATTTATATGTATCTGGCCAGCAAGTTAGATGAACGTTTGAGTTGAAATACACTAGTCAGTGGATGTCAGAGTAAAAACGTCAGATCCTTTCAAAGTCGCCCGCCGTTATTTCAACGACCTTGAACGGCCTTACAAGAGGTGGTCATTTCAGTTTCAGTTTTTTCAGTTTCAGTTTGGGAAGGACAGGAGGCTCGATGGCCTATGTTAGTCCTGGCAATGGTGGTCTCTCAGTTGATCCAACTTTCTTTTGAAAGAGTCGACGGATGGAGCCTCAACGACGTGCTGAGGTAGTGAATTCCACTCGTTGATGATTCGATGGGAAAGTCGATAGTCAGCTGACAAGTAATTTGTTCTCGGCTTATGAACTTTTTTGGAGTGTCCTCGTAAATTCTCTGTTTTGGAAGACAAGAAAAATGAGGGCATGTTAGGTGCAAATTTATCACTAAGCAATTTGTAGACTGTAATCAAGTCGCCTCTAGTTCTGCGATATGACAACGGGAAAAGGTTCAGCTTGGCCAGTCGAGATTCATACGGAAGCTTCGCTATTGCGGGAACCAGCTTAGTCGCCGTTCTCTGAACCTTTTCCAGAAGCTCACTGTCTTTTTTAAAGCAGGGGCTAGCCGCCTGTATGCAGTACTCAAGTTTAGGACGAACGAACACTGTATACAAAGTCAAAAACGTCTTAGTGTCGACATGACTAAAAGCCCTACGTATTGACCATAACGTTCTAAAACTTTTGGCGGCTATTGCACGGCAGTGTGCAGTAGTCTTTAAGTCTTGACTAACGATAACTCCTAAGTCATTATATGTCTGGACGACAGGTAGCTCAGCGTTATTCATCGTGTATGTATCTGTGCCTTGATGACCGATATGCATCACAACACACTTGGAAGTATTTATCGGCAACTGCCATGTTTGAGACCATTCAGATTTCAATTATCGTTGGTTTGTAGGGTTGTATGAGTATTAAGTTCTCTCATGTTTAAGTGGTCTTTTGCTGTGTTAAAAAGCACAAAAATACTGCCCAAAGCATTAATTTAGCCTTCTCTGTTTTGTATTGTATACTATAGCTCTGTTGTTGCTTCGTAACTTGATCTGTGATTCGATTTGCCCTAGTGAACCTCACCGCCTTCGTCTAATTTCTCCATGAGGTCGAGAAATATGCTTTTTCATAAGACGGAAAATTGGGCACGCCGTCTGAAACAAGTAGTACGGCGAGCTTCAAAAGACAACAAGATACAGAAAATGGCACATTTGTTTTGGGGATTTATTTGCCGCTACAATACCTTGAGGAGAAAGGACGATGACTCTCAAACAAACACTCCAAAAGGAATGGCAAGTGTATCCAATATCTCCACGACGAGCCCATTTAAACGGATTTATACGTTTTCGTTCTCATCTTGCTAAATTGATACGCATACAGTTTCCTGGTAATTTCCAGTGGTCGGTAGTCTAGCTACTTGAATCCACAAGTTCTAGTTAATTTGGTAATTATTTGTGGATTTACATACCCTCGAATCCGAATGGGTGGGCTTGTCTTATGGTAGCAGGGTTTCTGTAAGCAGTAAGTATTACCCTACGAGGCAAGAGGTTGGTTTGTTGCAGTGGGAAATAAAAACTCCAATACTGAGAGGAGACCACTGTCTCAAGAACTAAATAAATAAGCTTATCGATCGGCAATGCAGACAGTGTGAGCAGGTTGAGGTGTAGGAATAGAAATAGGGATAATAGCAAGAGAGTTGATAATAGGCGAGACAGAAAGTCGTCAATAATATGTGATAATGATAACGGTAAGTAAGTTACGAGAAACTCATCAGACAGCTTACCCAAGCGGAAATGGTGATCCTTGGGTGAGCATGTAGGACTATGGTCTACTATGATATTAGTGCTGCTCTAATAATAGACCTAATCCTAAATTTGTAGATTTGTCATGATATAACTGCCTAATTTATAAGATCTTACGTGGAAGTCACACCATCGACTACGCCAACTCACTGTATCGTATCAATTACCAATACATGATGTAGAACAACGTTAAGCTAGAGAAGGAACAATATATTTAATAAGAATAGAAGATATAAGATAACATTCAGATGGACCACGCCTGCATGGCCGAGCCATGCCATCCGATCAACTCCAGTCCATTCAGTTCATTGTTCGCGCCTTCTCCATTGTTGGGTATTTCTCCGCGTTAAATGTTGAATATCTATTTTCTGAGTAGTCTCGTGTTCACAGCTTTGTGGATTGTGTGGCTATTGTCCAATGCCACTACAAGCACGTGTTTTTCAAGTCCCCATTTCCACCAATTCACTGAAGGGGTTATAGTTATTTTGACCCGAAGAGCGTTCCGAGTGGAAGCAGCTCTCATTGAGAAAAAGTGGGAGCTATCTGAAATTTTGCCATTCGATGTGCAATTTTTCAAAGGCTGTGTCGGGGAGCATTATAGTTGTGTTTTAGTAGACTGTTCGTGATAGAGTGGCTTGATGTACATAGTATGTTCGATACCATCATAAGATTACCTCTAATTCTCCCACACCTCATTGGGAATAATGCTGTGTCGGAATTGGTCTTCGTAATACTTATTCTTTAGCCCTATCATCCACTTGGTTGCTCATCTCTGTACTTGACCTAAGAGATTTAGGTCAGTTGCGAAGAGAGGGAGGAAGCAATTTTATGGAATTTGAGTTGAGGTCTTGAGCACATTTTAGTCAATATAAGAAACTATTTTGGGGTGATTGCACCAAGATGTCTTCTCATAAAGTGTAGTGTTGCATTTCCATCGACTGCAACTACAATATATTTCGAAATAGTGTCCATGATCTTTGTGGTTGCTGGGACAAGATCACGCTCTGAGGAGACTAGTGCACGCGAATTTTAATAAAAAAACTTTAGTTGTTAGTCCACCATGTGGCTGAATGTTCGCTACATGACATTGTGATGGACTAAATTTCAACTCATAGTCCTTTTGAAGGTATGTTTACCTCCTTATAGACCTTCACATTTAAGTATTGTCAGCATGTACGGGAATCAAAGAGCTAAATGCGTCTGTGAAGTCATTTATGAAGATCAAGAAGAAAGATGCGATTAAAATGGTTTCTTTTGTGACTCCTGAAGTTAAGATCTTCAAGCTGTTTGGAATTCTGCACAAATTAGTGTTCAACATACGGTTTACCGTGTGATTATCATGCCCGAGAAGTTTAATGTCAGTGTAACCCATCTGTTCAATTTTTCCTATGTGCATCAAATGCTTCAGAGAGGTCGAAGAATATTACGGGAACCGGTGTTTTTGAAACCAAAAGGTTGTCCTGCTTTATCATGCTGTGAAGAGATTTCGAACTCTTGGAAATACCTTCCAGAATCACTTTTTAGCTTACCTGAAAGGAACACATTTGTCAATCTGTTACCGCATTCTGTGATTGGTGCATTCATCCATTACCGTCGAAAGTGTTGTAATTTGGTGACTCATCTACACCAGTTTTTTATTTTTCCTCGTTTGAAGATCAGAAAGAATCTCCTGACTTCACTCTTTCGAAAGTTCCTGTGAACCTGTGCTTTTCAAACACCTGTGTACTGGCGACTTATGTGCACTGTCTCGGGGTTACAAGAGAAACTTGCCTCATCTCAGTGGTTTTCGCATATCGAGGAACTTTAGTTTATTCGTAGCGAGCACCGGAGTTAGATAAGTATTCTCCGCATCATCAGCTAGGATTACATTTAAGAAGTATTCCGCGCCAGTGGTTTCCTGGCTTAGTTGATCGGTAGAGTTGACATGAAAGATTTCTTCCATCTCTAGGTTGATAAGTCCGAAACCTCTATCCTACTCAAAAGCACAAGTCATACGTTATTTGTTTTTTCGTTGAGTCATAAACCTATAAATTTTGAGTAAATTTGTACTTTAGCCAGTGGTTTAATCCAGAAATATCTATTGCCGCTTCGATCTGTGGCGTTGCAACTGTCTCTTAATACTAAGTAAACGATACAGTCAGAATCCTCCATTGAAACTTTCAATGTTCCACACCATCTTTTCTACACGTAGCGACCATTTTGTTCCTTGCTTAAGCCAAAACTTTCCCTTCCAGATGTGTGCATTGCTCGAGGTACGTTGCGAAGGTTAGCAGACTTAATAATATCCTTCACTATCCAGTAGTTTATTTATTTATTTAAACACAAATACTGTCATAAGAAGGCACCAGAAACAACCATTTTCTAAGAAGAAAGCAAAAGAAGGTTATAGCAGGATCGCCACTGGCTTCTATCCTGAGCCATATCTGATAACGTCTCTAGCCACTGTGTTGCACCATCTCTAGGACACCAACCAGAGAGTCGTGAAGGACCAACAGAAGCCAGCCCTTTGCAGCTTCTTTCATACCACTACACCATGTCATACACTGACTACCTCTCCGCTTTTCCAACCAGTCCCAGAGTTGGCAAACAATACACGACGTGTATTTCTCTGGGACGACATTCATAGAACATGTCCAAGCCACCGAAGTCGGTGTTTCAAGATGGTGACATCGATTGCATTATCATCTCTGTGCCCGAACACACGATGCCGAACCTCTGCATTACTGACATGGTGTTGCCACTGAATGTCAGCAATCCTTCGGAGACAACGATGATCGAACACAGAGAGTCGTCTAACATCCTGAACTTGGAGATCAGGTTTCACAAGCATAGAGCAAAACTGCTTTCACCGACGCGTTGTAGATCTAATATTTTTACAGCCGGACTAACATCACGAAGGCGCCAAAGATGGCCCAGATTGGCATAAGCCGCTCTGGCTTTCACTATACGTGCATTGATCTCACTACTCACGCCACCACCAGAACTTATGCAGCTACCTAGATACAAGAACTTCTCGTCTACTTATATCTCCTCACTACTCAGGGTGAGTACAGGATTAGAATCCTGCCAGTCTTGTAGAAGTATTTTGAACTTCGAAGGTGCAAAGCACACACCGTACCTACGGACACTGATTGCCAACTGATTGAGTGCAGATTGCATGGCTTGGGTATTATCGCACAGTAAGACAATATCATCTGCGTACTCAAGGTTGAGAAGTTTTTCTCCAGGCAACAGATCCACATCACCATTACTTACATTCATCAGAGCTGTTTCCAGAATG